TGGAAACGACGGTCGTTTCCTATTTTTGTACTCGGCAAGTGATCATTTAGTATTTTTCTCCCCTTGTTACTGTTCGTCGATATTGTGTTGTTGAACTGCTGTGCTGTACTCTTGTTGGTGTGATTGTTCTTGAGTGCCTTTTTTATCAGGGTTGATAATGGACAATAAAAGTCCATATGCGACCATCTTAATTACGAATGCAGTGAGTTTATAGAAAATGAATAGTTTGGTAAGCAAGAATTTTTAGGGAAACTTGCAAAAAGTGACGATGAGATTATGCAGATCGAACAAGCCACTAAATCACAGGACTGTACCTTGTGGCGCCTTCATCGGAGGATAAGGTTGACAGCGACTCGATTTGTTGAAGATTGTAGAGGAAGGCAGACAACAAGCTGTAAAGTTCTAGTAAACTCCATCATATACCCAACAGAGTTTTCTAGCAAGGCAATAAAAAAGGCAATACAAAAATCATTGGACACGGCCGTTCAATCTTGTGGTTTGTTTATTGATCGCACAAATCCAGTTCTGGCAGCATCGCCTCCATCTACCTATTACAGTAGACAAGAAATGTACTTAATCAAGGTATCAGCCTACCTGTTTATTGCTTTGCAAAAATTACCTAGCTGTTACCTCTTATTTTGACGGCATAAGATATTTTTATGACCCTCGTGCAATTGTTGCCATGTACCACATGACCCTTGTAAACATAATTGTGTTTATTGACATGAATAAAGGAATTTGAATTTGAGTTCTTGAATTTATTTTACTAAAGATATCAAATTATTTGAATACATTTTTTCTTAGTCGGAACGCACCGTCGCGTCGCTTGGACTGGCAGGACGAAACAGTAGACGAATTTCGCCCAAAAACCGATTTGCACTTCACAGCTTACGTTTCATTTTTTATTATTTCCAAATAGAACTCTTGCAGCGTGCAAAGTCCACAGGGTGCTAACGATCCACTTTTTCGATTTTATCCACTAGGATCTTTTTAAAATATCAAGAAGTTGAGCACACATAGTAAGCATTTCAACCCACCATAATTCTTGCACAAACTCAAAATTTTGTAAAAAGCTCTGATAGCAATTATGTCCTGCTTATCTCCAGAAAAACATCACAAACTGCAGAACACAAATTGAAGCTGACGGCGAAATGGGTATATTTCACGGGTCATGAAATTCAAATGAAAATGCAGGTATAAAATCTACCAAATTATCGTTCTTAAAAACATATTTCCTTGACATATCGATAATTTTAAGGTTCCACGCTAAATTTCCTTATACTTGACTGAAGTGATATCCGAATTCATTCTTCCCTGCTGTCGTCGGATTTTCGTTGATTAAATTTCCTGTAATCACTGGGACCAGAATCTTCTTAATAATAGAACGTGTTCCACTGATATCAAAGATGCAACATTTAGAATCACCTTCCCCCAACCCCCACTTTTTAAGCAGTACATGTTTTTATGTCAGTGGTAAGGAACCCCTGTAACGTCAAAAACGGAGTTTCAGCAATTGTTACATTTTCTTTTTTACCTATAGTACCCTTGCCATTGGAAAAACTACATAGCTTTGACATACTAGTAGCCCCGTGTGGAAATTTCATAAAAATCCGAGCGGTAATTTCCAAGTTGATGATGAGTGATACAGTTTTTCGTGATGAAGATGTCATATAACTTAAAAACATAGCATCTCATTTTTGAAATTTTTTGCGATTACAATACTTCATCTGCAGTGACATGGGAAGTAAAACGGCTTTAAAATCGAGGAGTATCAGCGATCGCGATTATGAGTACCTATTTGCAGAACGACTTATTTACGCGATATTATATGAAATAGGGCCACCAAATTATCTGAATACGTCCTTTCTTAGTCCGTACAATGCGCCGCAACGCTTGGTTTGGCAGCACGAAACAGTAGACAACATTCATCCAAAATACGATTTGCAGAGGTTTGCGCGCTTCCAAATTGACGCTTTATTTTTTGATATTTTTGAATGAAATTTTCATAGCGTGCTGAAAACAAAACCCCACATGGTGATATAGACCCACTTTTTAATTTTTTTCACTAGATTCTTTTTAAAAAAATCGCGAAGTTGAACAGAAAAGGTGCGCACTTCAACCCATCATAAAACTTGTGCAAAACAAAATTTCAAAAAGTGCTCCTATAGCACCCTGGGCAATTATCTTCTGAACATACTGTATGAATTTCATTCAAAAATATTGAAAAATGGAGTGTCCGTTTCGAAGCAGCTGAACCCTTGTAAATGGATTGAAACTCACTGCGTCGGAGCCACCTTAAGGCTGAAATAGGTGTTGGAGCTGATATCTTCGAAGATTATGAAATCAGTCAGCCTGGGAACCTGGGCAAAGATTTTCCAGGCACAGCGGTGGAACATCCAGAAAAACTGACAACCACGCATTTTTGGGAAAAGGTTATAAAAAATGTTACAGAATATTTAAAAACCAATTTGTCGGTGACCTCAAATATGATCTAGGCAATGATCCAGAGGTAATTTGGAGGTCATGTTTCTAAGTTCGAATAGCAACCATCATTTTTTATAGCAAATTTCTGTCGAGATCGAGATTCTACATCGAATGTTTTCTCATAAATGAGGTCAAGCTGTCATAAGTGGTTCAAACAAACCTTCTGCAATATCGGAAAAGTTCACGAAGACCTAGCAACCACGTATTTTTGGGAAAAAAGGTTCAACAACAACCATACCGATTGAACCAGCTTGTATGCACTCTGATTTGGAACCTCGATCTCTATCACCAATCTGCTGTGGTTGGTAATTGGATTTACAGACTTGACCTCCATACGACCTCAGAGGTCACTGTCTGGGTCATATTTGAGGTCATCACAAATTGTTTTTTCGATATCCTGAATCTTTTCTGACAAACTTCTTCCAAAAATGCGGGATTGCCATGTTTTCTGGATGTTTAGCTATTAATAAATACCCTGTACAGACCAGTGAGTCGCAGTGGAGGACCATGGTTGATGCACTCACAGAAAACCAGCTTCATCTATGCCCACCAAACTCTTCTCCTAAAAATATTGTATCTGTTTCAATGAACAAACTGTCATGCAATTTATGCTATGTACGATATTCCAGGTACGTATGTCTGGTGGAATAGTTCAAGAACCGAAACTTTAAAGGGGAGTGGCAGACGTTGAGAATAATGAGGTTATAACTCAAATATTATTCGCTTCGCATTTCCAGTAGCTGGCTCTGTGTAATTTATGGCGGCCGGCCGCACATATGAAGTCATTTCCAGTCCCGCAGCCGGACCGTGTAAAATTTTTCCTTAATTATGATTGCACGCCGTTTGTGAGCCGCTGCCAGGCAGCCATTTGCAGCACGCAAACCGACGCCACCCTATAATCTGCACCGGAATGCTGCTGTTACCACATTTATTTTGGACTAAATTTAACGCGCAAAGTGTCCGTCCAGATTACATATACGTATATCCAAATGTTTCAGTAAGGGCTAGTATTTTCACCTCTGGATAATAGCTAGAGTAAACACCCCAGTCGTTAGCTCTTAGTCAGATATTGGCACCTCGGATGATTATACTTCATTATTGTATTAAATAAAATGAGTAGGTGTCTCGAGGTACCCTGAAAAAAGAGTGATAGCTGTCATATCCTGACATAGCTATCCGGTACGTTTCTGTCAGCGTTAATCGGTAATTAAGTGTAAGGTGTTGTGCTGCTTCGAGCAAGGTTTTAAGAAACATGATATGATGATGTTGAAATGGACATGTTTGCTTTTCGTCTCTGTAACTACGAGCAGCGGCAGAGTTCTGTTTCATGCTCATTAGCGACTCATCTCTGCGGTATAGGGCAAGAGTTCCTGGAGGCAGATGAAAGGAAAGCAAAGAAGCAGGTATGGTCGCTTGAATAACTCGAAATACTGTGCGGTATCGGGTGAAAAATCCGATCATATCCACCTACCAACGGTTTGCCAGGTTGAACATCAAGATACTGTATGACGCGACGTCGTGATTTTGGACCGGCCTGATTAACCTTTTGCGGCCGATTTGCTTTCTGTTGTGATATCAATTCATGTTCAATTTACTTGGCTCCTGATAAAATTCTTATGTTTCCACGATAATTGCTGGTTGCCTGTGACTTGGACTATTTAAATGATGGTCAACAAGGCAGCTCAACTCCTTCCTGAATTTGCACTTGGAGCTGCCTAAACATTGAGGACAACGTTCTAAACACACTCGCAAAGTGTCAATGAGACGTTCGAGACATTCGCAGTAACATAACATCAAATCCATAACTAACTTGTTGCTGTAATTTGGAATTTTTAAAGGCGATTTGAAAATAATTAAGTTTAACCTACACACCACTTTCGAAGACTGATTTGGATACTAACTCAGATCATACTACAAATCGTAAGATGCAGGGTAGGGCTATAATATGAGGCTTTTTTCGGAAATTGATAACAGCGTTGCTAATGTCAGCACTCTACATGCAGAAATTCAGAATGACAAGCCGATCTCTGCCGGTGACCTGGAAAAAAGATAAGTAGCAGCAACTTCGTTTCTGACGAGTGACCTGGCGGCTATCACTGCTCGTGGATGCGGCAATTTTGTACCGCTCAATGCTTGCAGAAATCAGTACTGTACCTTAATGAACAGAAAGCGTCCTAGCACACCAAGGACTTGAACTGGCCCAAGCACTGGCACAATAACAGTAGCTGCCGCGTGATCAACAAATATCTATTAACCCATATCATACCAATGATACAAAACTAGTAAAAGTCACTGTTTTTTTAATACACTTTATTAGTACATGCAAATGAAACGTTTACAGTTCTTCAATTTTTTTTGCATACTGATCATCCAAAAAATGCGTGGTTCGATTGTGCACCGCTGGTAACAAAGACAAACTTTTAATAGTGCAAATATCTTATATAGTACTTCAATCCCTTCAAAAATTGGAGATTCTTAGTGGAATTATTATATTTTATAATGGACATAGTTGAAAGTTATCCAGTACATAGAACTTCCATGTTTTTTTGTGTTGCGTTCACGCACCATTGGGATGTTGGCCGACAGAAATATATCCATTTCTGATGATATTTTTCGAAGCAGGATACGTGTAAATGTACTTTACACCTTTTGCACATGTGCACTGTGTGACTATGACATTCTCTGCAACGTCTTCGTGCCTTATTCGGGTGACGAGTTACAGTAAGGCCACAGTCATCAAACCGAACCTCAACAACTGGTTGCAAATTTCAAGGAATATGACGCCTGTCTGTCTTCATGAGACGAAGGGCTACGTAGGATTTGAAATCCAATTGGGAAATTTTGTTCTGATATACGGAATTATAAAGTTTCCAGCAATTAACGATGATACTGTCGATTGAATTACAAAATATGGGCCACCACCATATGTTTCCCATGACTCTAATTCTGTAGTTTGCAATGCCATTATCGTGAAGATCGACACCTCCCATACAGCGATTGTACCTAGCAATGACATTTGGTTCCTGTACATGAATTTCTCTTTTTTCTTTCCTGTTGTATCGGCGGACTTGGTTTATAGGCTCAACACTGTATACATTGCTACAAATGGTAACTATAGAATTATCATTCCAACGAACCATTGAAATTTTGTTATTTTTGTCATACGCGCAATCATACGCTCCTCGTTCTCGCTTGGACATGATTTTTGGTTCAACTAGCGGACAGTGTCCTGTTCGATTACTTCTTATAGTTCCTGTGGCATACAAACCTTTGTTCTTCAGGTCAACTAGGAGTTGATATGAAGAAAAGAAGTTGTCAAAGAAAATACTATGTCTAGCAGGATAATCCACGTTGGCAAGTAAATTGTTGACGGTTTCACGACCAAGTCCCAATGACGTCCTTTCTTTGTTAGCGATTGCTCCTGCATATGGAATAGAATAGAATAAATATCCATCTGACGAACATAAACACCACTGCTTGAATCCAAATCGAACTGGCTTGCCTTTTATAAACATTTTGCAAGAATGCCTACCGAAATAAGGAACCATCTGTTCGTAAATTGATAAATTGTGTGCAAATACGCCCCACTGCATATTTTTTTATTTACAGCGTCTAAATATGGACGAAGCTTAGAAAATTTATCATCTTTATCTAAATTACTATTATCAGATAAATGTATGTTTCGCTTTATGGCTTGGAATCTATTCCGACTCATGCACTTTTTCACTATGTCTATCCCCTTGTCCTCCTCGTTTGACCAATAGAGCGGAACTTGCGGCAAGGTGTGATACCCAGAAAACAGCATAATGCCTAGGAAGTTCAGAAGTTCTCCTTTTGACAAACAAAATCCATGTCTGTTGTTTTGTTGGGCGTATTTCACAGAAAAATCTAAAATCAAATTTATCAAATCATCATCAAAGAAAAGAAAAAACATCTTTAGCCAGTACATTCTTTAAATGCTCCATATCAATGTCTTCGTTGCTGATGGATGAATGAGTGTACTCCAGTGGACCCTTTTCCCACTTTGGCTGGAGGGGCGGCACAGCAAAAGTTGTGGATGTGACTGGCACGGGGGGGAGGAACCAGTCGCAATTTTCTTGACGCCAAAAACTCATCATCGGAAGTGTGGAATCCATCATCGTCAAAAAAAATGGCTTCCTGTTTGTTTGGGATTTCAGCAGCACCATCTTCATTCGTAAATGCGTGGAGTTCAAATGTACCAGCAATGTCTGAAGGACCTGGTACATCAATTTCGGGTAGTAGCTCATCTTCTACAACCTCCTCGTCAGTTACATTGTCTACATCTGGAGGTATGTAAACAGCATCAAGAGCATCTACGCAAAAATAAAAGGGATGCAAATGAGGTTAGGTTAGGAGTTTTCGCACACAAACCTTTTCTGTAGTTGTGCAGTTCTTGTCCAGCTTCTTCAAGGGCAGCTTCCAATTCACTTTGAGTCAGAAATCTTCGAAATGACATTCTTAAGATGGATGTATGCACATATCTCGATGGTATGCACTAAACAAAACTAAAACGCAACTAACGTAAACACCTGCAAATGCGTACTGCGTACGTCAAGTTCTCGCGCTAACTTGTCTGCACAGGAAAATACTTAACTGATAAAACCAATGGTGCACAAACGCACCAACAAAGTTTCCTCTTGTATAACTTCAATTATAAGATCGAAGCCAAACTTTTGACAAACAACATACAGACCACATAAGTTTCTTTTCCACTATTTACAGGTAATTATAGGAAAAAATGAGTCTAAACCATAATTCATTGAATTTGAGACATGTTTTACGGAACCAAATATAATATTCATGTCAAAAACCACCGCCATTTTTTTCCCTTTGCTGTCAAGGTCAAAAACAAATTAAATTTGGATACAGTAGCAACAGATTATCTCAAACTACACGTATTAAGCAGTTAGAACAAGGAACTATCCGGGAAAAAAATCATAAAATTGGCGGTGCGTACGCGCACCACTGGGACCAAATGGGTTAAAATGGGCTAAATAAATGAAAGCTTGTAACTATGTGTTTTTAATGTTAGTATACTTATTTGAAAAAATCAGGATTACACATTTTCAACACAAGAGTTCTGATAGATTTTAAATCGAACCCTGAATACCTCTTAAAGGAATCTTATTTTACGTAAAGTCCTCTATTCAATGATGTATAATGAGTATTACTTTTGTTGTCAAATGCCAGCTGCATAAAATAATTTTTTATACAAAACAAAGAGTAGTTTTTTTTATTATTGGCTCCAAATAGAAACGTGTTACCAATGATGTTCTGCAGGCTACTATCGGTTTAGTAACAAATTAAAATTGCAACTATTTCAAAGAAGCTACCAATCGCCGCAAGAAAGTAAGGAGGCTATCAAAATTTGGGATGCTTTCAAATAGCATTTATTTAAAAAGAATAGTAGGCTGTGGAAAACAAATAAAAGTCAATTTATAGAGTACTATTATTGTTTAGTTATTTGATGTTTGGCAATCTTCGTTTCACTTGAATTTATTTCCACAAATTTCTTTTCCTTAAAACGTAAACCTTTATTATTTTTTTACTATAGATATTACAAGTAAGTTGATAAGCTATATATATAATATTTGGTGAATACAGAAAAATATCTAGAAATGCTTATGCGTTCTATACTCAGCGATATCTTAATAGAAGACATGCAAGTTACTCATACTTGTTTAAGTTAGAGGCAAAGTTTAGAAATGAGGATGTCAATGGAGATGCTGAGAACTCTTTCGCAGTGAAAGGAGAAGCGGAGATAAATGTTTTGGCACACGTTCACCTTGACCCAAGGGTATCTACTAGGCAATTAGAGCAAGCAGCAAATGTAAATCGTGAGTCAGCTAGGCAGATTTTGAAGAAACATGGATTCAGCTCATATAAATATCAGGTGCACCATCGCTTACAAGAAAACGATTTTCCAAGAAGATTGGCCACTGTAACTGGTTTCGTGCACAACTTTAAGGAGAAGGAGAAATTTTCATTGTGATATTCTGTGGGCTGATGAATCGCGTTCGGCAAAGCTTGGGTTATTTAATAAAAATGATGCAAGCTACTGGGCAACTGAAAATCCACGTTTGATAAGAGAATGGGCCTTTCATGACCGTTTTGGAGTGAATGTGTGACTCGCAGTTCTGGGAACCCGCATTGCTACTATGTGGAAAACCTAAAAATAAAACGTCAAAAAAACCGACGAAGTGTCTGAATCTTGCAGACTAGGTAGTTTTTACTGTACAAATAGTGCATTCCATGATGGCTATTTGCTGACACGTACAACTACAAGACGAATTCACAGCAAGTGTACAACAGCTTGTGCTAAGTTAACATCTTGTAGGAAAACCTACGAAATCTAAAGAAATACCTAAGAAACGTCAAAAAACCGATAAATCGTCACTTTTTAAGATACGTAATCTCCGTGTCGCATAGTTGGTTCTATATTTCTTTATGAACCCATAAACTGGGGAGATTATCTCAAGCTTTTGCAAAATGAAATAGAAGATTTTTTGGACGGTTTGCCCCAGGCTGATAATGGGTATGTTGTATTTCAACAAGACACAACAGCAGAGAAGTTTTTTAACGGATATATTCGGGAATCGTTGGATAGGATCAAACGGTCTAATTAGGTGGCCCGCGCGATCACCCGACTTCACCATTTTAGACTTTTTCGTTTGTGCATACTTGAAGGAGAAAGTTTATGTCACGCCTCCTATAAATGTATTAGATTTACAACAACGAATAACGGCAGCAATTAACACCTTATGCGAAGATTTTTTAAACAATTTGCATGCAGAAACCATAAGAAGGGTCAATAAAGGCTACGAAAATAATGGAGGATGCATTGAACTGTATTATCTTTAATATGAATGTTTAATAGATTCTAGCTTATAATTTTGTAATATTATAACTAGAATAGTTCGGAAAATAGGTAAAGTAGGGTAGGAGAGGATAATAATAGTTTCAGTTTGTAGTAATCAAGTGGAGTTGTTTTAATAGTCTGTTCTTATAAAAAAAGAATAAAGACATTTTTTATTACTTTGCCCGAAATTCCTTTATTTTGATCACATCGCCACCTTGACAGCTTAATATATTTTTTGTTTTATAAGCAATATGGCGGATTTTAGGTTATCCGCAAATTTCTATAGCGCCGCCATTTTAAAACAAAAATATCACTTGCGACACTACGATGGAAAAGGAATTTTGCATAGAGTACGATTATCGAAGAAAATATACAGGTTTCTATTTGAAAAATGAAAGTCAAGGTCACTTCCGGTCCGTTGAGGAGCGATATATTTATTTGCCAAAAAATAGAGCGTGTTTCCAATTTTCATATAATGAAATGGGCATAGTAAAACTGTTGGAACGCGTACTAGCGTCACCATGCCATGTCACTACTGACGAGTCGACCAGACACGTCGCCTAACCTTGAAGCTTACTGTTCGTCATTATTCGTCAGAGCAGTCCGGTGGACCTTTGCTCTTAGTTAAACGTCTCATCGGTCTGTTAGTCTGTTAGTTCTGGCTACCCAGATACCAAACATGTTTAAGGGGAAGAGGGAAAAAGAAAGGAAGGAAGAAATAGAGCAAAGAAAAGAAGTAAATCATTTTAAATAGCTTAAGCATTATTGCTTTGACTACTCGAATTATTTTGTAACTCCATTTTGATCGGTTTTGTATACTGAAATAATTTTGGCTGGTCTGAATTTACAATTCAATTTTGATCACAGTGCGAGGCGCGGCCTGGAATGTTTGCGAACTTGCTCGACTGTGTAGTCTACTGAATCCCGCAACAAAGTGTTGCCGTGCGATTCCGCTTGATTATAACGCCGCTGTGCCTGTTATTTTACGTAATCCCTTAGATATGGGATATCAAGGTCTCTGTGAATAGTCTCATTTGACACGTACCAAGGGGCGTTAGTAATTGTGCATACGGTTCTGTTTTGCAGGACTTTTTTTTACAGTAACAGCCGTCCACGCGCGCCGCACCAGGAATGCAGTCACCAGTCAGTCGTAAAGAGTCAGTCGTGGGAAGCAGTTCTGAATCGAAGACCACTGCGAGTTGAATTGCTTTGCTTACCTATCCTCAACAAAAACTGATAGCCCGCAAAGGGTTAAGTAAGTTTTACTGTCACCTTTTCAGGATAGCAAGTTGCTGACACATGTGGCAGTACATGATGCAGCACCTGTTGCGGAGTAAATTTACATCGTAGCTGCTTCAGAACGATAAAATACTTTCTGGGCTTATATTCATTTAGGAAATGTAGGTCAATTTCCATGCCAAGTTTTAGCCACATAAGCACAATGAATCTTGCGGCGTTGCCTTACATCCATGAATTTGTTCAAACCGGAGTGATAGCGTTAAACGTCGACACAGTTTCCGTACGTGTGGAATTTCATCAGCTTCCTCGGGGCGCTTGGCGTTTTTATCTGAGAAGTCGATTAGGTCGAACACGGAAAGAATCAAAGTTTCCAATTCCGTTCTTTTCCATTGGATAGCGGAACCGAACCGCGCCGTATCACTAACCGACCCGGATGCAATTCCGCCGACTTTTTCTTATCCACGACTTATAATGGTGAACAGTTTTACATCGCAACCACCATCCGCCAAAAAGTTACTTTAACGAGATAGTTTCGATTTCTTTCCCAGGAAGACTAGTGTGATAAAATCTAGATATAATGTGCTGTGGGATTTCAACTTGAGTTTCTAGCATCTGACCACCATTTTTTCTAAAGAACCATACTGGTAAGGACAGTGTAATGATCGAAAGTATATCTGAGACACATGTATTGTCCTCGTCCAAGAAACGTATATCACTAGTATGGCGGACAGGCCAGTCATGTCATTCTTGGCTAGCATATCTCTATATATAATGTGGTGGCAATTATAGCAACAAATTTGATATTTACTAATATTCAACAATAGCATATA